TTATAACTTTAATATTTCATATTTTTTCATGAGCTTCAATGATAGTGAGTTAGATGAGTATGCCATAGTGTAACCTAATCCAATGAATGCTTATCTTAAGATGTCCACATAGTTTGCTTATAGAAGAATGGTTCACTTAAAGTGTGGGGCAAAGTCCATTTTTTCACTTGGCTATTTTCTATTATGCAGGATGAAGTATGTTGAAAATTTCTTAGGATGTCAAAAATTAATAATGGAGATGATGGTGCCTCCTCGGCTCGTCCCTCTAGGATATCCAATCAACCACGAGCTGAACTAGGAGAGGTTGACCCTCCTATGAGATCTGTAGCTCGACAAGGGAGGACTATACCACACTCAACAAGAAAGCTGAAGGGAGGAGAAGAGGAGAAGGAGCTAGAAGAGAGGAGGCGTATTCCTCAACCTCAAGTCTTTTTCAATTTCTTCTATGTATCTTCTTCCCTCCTTTATGGAGTAGTCCTCTAAGGTATTAGGGGTTCTAAACTCAAAACCCTAGTTTTTGGGTTTACTATGTATGTATGGATATTTTAGGGTTTGAATGAATGAATATGTTTATCTAGTTGATTCTATTACTATTCTATCTTTGATTGTGTTTGGGTAAGTCGCCCTAATCTTCTCTATTAGCCTACTTTACACTTCTATGCTGTGTATGGTGTTCTAGGGTTAGACGGGTATGCGACCGAACCCCTGCTATAGAACTCGGGATAAAACCTCGGTGTGGATGGTGGATAGTATCCATTGAAAGGAGCTACAAGCTTAATGCCCCGGATACGATAACCTAGATTGAGGTGACTTTATATGTGTTTAGGGGAGGTGTACTCGGAGGCGTGTGGATAACCACGAGAGCCTACGGGAAAGAGCTCACTCACCACATTCGATAATACTAATTATCTAGATACATAGTATACATAGGCTAGGGTGAGGGATAGTTCCTCGAAGTACCTACGTTTAGCTTTATTCGATCTCTTAACCAGTAGTTCCCTCAGATCCTCCATGCAAACCTCCAAAAGTGATTAACTAATTAGCAACTAGGTGGGAAGTAGGCTAGGGTACCAAGACTCGAGTAAATACGACCTTGATTACCACTATACGACAATGATATCTTAGGTTAAACTTGGCTTAGGATGGGGTAGTTGTTGACAAGTGCTAACCATTGACATTAATCTGCACAGACTAAAGTGATCAAGCTTTTTTCGCCGTTTGCTGGGGAACCTTGGTAACTAGTAGAAAACCATTAAGTTTTTAGTTAGCCTTTACTTTGTTTTGTGTTTTTGTTTCGTGTGTTGTTATTTTTGTGGTTGTTTTGTTTCATGTTTTGTTAGACGTAGCATTACATATAATGTCTGTTTTTTGTGCTTTGCTTCCACCCACTCTTCCCTCCGGAGGGTGCTCTGTGTGTGTTTGATTCTCTTTATAGTGTCTTTGTTTGTGTAGTAACTTTTGAATCATGGATCCTTATGACTTCACCAAAGTGTGGGGGTATTCGTCAATACTCAAAGATGGTTACCTCGAAACTTCATGGAGTAATCAAAATGGAGAAAGTAAAGGATCCAAATTCTTTTATGCACCTTCCTTCCAAGAAAAATAAATTTACCCGTGGTAATTACAAGACGCCTTCCATTTCAACAAATGTGTTCTCACACAACTGAAACCAAAAAGCCATTTGGAACTTTTGGTGGAGCGATTCACTCAGGATACTGAAGCAGGTTCCATTGTGGAATCCTCAACCACCATCCCGATCGATCTTTCCTTATTAAGGACAACGGAGGAAACGCTCCGAAGGACGGAGAGACTAAGTGAGATTGTCAAACAAGCGTGTGCACAACTTGCTAATGTTTCTCCCTCGCCAGATGAAATGAAGAAGAACGATTTTGAGGTTATCCAAGAAGACTTGGAGAAGCAAAATTGGCTTATCTCGAAGAACTCCCGAGATATTGTTAAGCAAGCGCATTCTCTAGAAATGGACACCACTCGGGAAGAAGGATAAAGATTCTAATAAAGGAAAGATCTTGTTCATTCCTACATAGAGCCACAATTCAAGGAGGAAGGTGCATATGGTGTCCAATTTGACTTTTGCACTCTCTTAAAAACGGACCCATTTGCAGGTCTTTGCCAAATAGAGACCACACACTGTCACTTATTCCTCTTGGCGTATTCAATGATGGTCGACCAATACTTTCTTTTTTGGTGATAGGTAAAGAGGGAAGTGAAGAAAAGAAGAAGAGGTCTCACGTTTGGAGACGCAAATATTGCCAAGTCCATGAGTCATTCACATCATTGGAAGCATTCAAAGCTTGGGACTTGAGACATGACCTCACCAACGAGAACCTCAACTTTAAGGAGATCCTAAGCTGGACTGAGTACTTGAAGACAATGGTCCGATGAAACGACCTAAAAGACACGCTAGTTGGGCAGCAACCCCAACATGAGTTTGCACTTCTCTACCTTACCTTGCATTTTAATTAAAGTCTCCCTAATTAGATTACTTAATTAATCGCTATAGTTTTGTCATTAGTTTGGCTCTAAGGAATTTATGTTTGACGCCTGCCAGTAATTTCAATGTCGATTAGTCAAATGACCTTGGTAAGTTAGAGATCCATGCTTTAATTTTGCCCCAGCAAATCAAGATCGCTGACTCGGCACAAATCTTCACGGTTGCGATCCCCCCTTTCTTTCCCCCGAACTCTATTGAAGTGTACGAGATCGCAGCCTGCGGTAAAAAGATCGCGTGTTTTCCTTTCTCCCTGCCTATCCCAAAATTCTACCACGTTCCATGCTTCCACTGAACCATTTTCTTGTCTCCATCTCATTACTCTTGTTGTTCGCACTGCCGCCGCCAGTTACTGGTAAAGCCAACACTACATCTTTTCTGCTCTGTTCAGCCCTCTCATTCATCCCAGATTTTGGTCTTTGCTCACCAAACTTTCCTTGTTTCCCTTGCGTTGCTAGATTCACCCATACTGAACTCTTCAAGATCGTTCCATAAACCTATACCAACAAATTTTCATTAAGGCAAAGCCCCAATTTTTTCGTCGTCAACTTCGGTCGAAAATGCTCCTAGCCAGTAGGTGGATGAAATCCTGGAAACCTTATTGCTTAGAAATAGCTGAGACCTCAGCGGATCCATCATATTGTGATTCACTCTGACCTTCACAAAGTGTCCTGGGACCCCCTTCATGCTAAACAACCATGCGCCAAAAACTTCCCCAACCTTTCCTTCAACCATACGTCTCCCAAACACCACAGTGCGACAATGCGCCGGAACATCCCACATTTGAACCCAAAATGGAATAAATTCTAGGGAATCCACCACATATGTCGTGATCGGCTCCAATTGCTACAACTGTGTCCTGTAGAACATGATCCTTGATAGGCCATGGGGTTTATTGGAGCACCCAGTCCCTTTCTTCTTCATCTTCAAAAAGGAACTAAAGTAGTCCCAATTCAACCTCCACACCGTCACTTTTGATGCGCATTGCCAATCCCCCTAACTATCTTTTGGATCACCAAAATGCTTGGTGGATTCTCCATGAACAGGCGCCCCAATAAGCTGAGTTTTGCCCGTTGCATGCTTGGCTCAATATCTTCCAGCTCGAACTCAATCGACTGGTCAATATCCGTAGGTTCTGGTAGGGGTGGCATTCGGTCGGTTTTCGAAAACCGAAATCTCAGTTTTCGAAAACCGAGACACGACCAACTGCTGCGATCGACCGTCCCTCCAGCCTCGGTTAGCCGCAAACCGATTGGCCGGTTTTCGGTTTCGGCGCGGTTTAACCGGGGCAACCAAAATTTGAAGGCCGGTTCGGTTGGAGCCACCTAACCGACCAAAACCAACAGGACAACAAGGGAACAAAATCTAAAATCGCCTAAAATTAAAATCTCAAACCTACATTTCAATTCCTTTTGCATCGAAAATACATCTAAATTAGCAACTTAATGTCTCACATTCATTAATTCAACAACGTAAACTCCACGACTAAATTGCATGTTTGGTCACTGGAATTACTAGTAAATTTCACGTTAGCCACTAGAATTACTTTATTCCATCTGTAGTCACTTAAATTAGGTTAACAGTTCAGGTTTGGTCACTGGCTGTTAGTCTCCGTTAACTTTTGATGATGTGGCGGTCAACTCTTACAGTTGACCATTAAATGAGTGACATGGCAATTAAAAGACTAAGTAATAAATAATAAATATTTTAATAATTTCCACCACATTATTATAATAATTAAAACACAAAAATGTGGAAGGAAAAAGAAAACCATTGGCTACCTACATCTAGGGCTGGGCATGCGGGCGGATCATCCGCGGGTTTGGGCCGACCCACCCGCATTTGACCCGAATTTCGTTAAGTGGGTGGGTCTATGGGTGGGTGACGGGTTCCGCTGGGAGTCATCCGCCGGGTGGTGGGTGGGTGCGCGGGTGGGTGCGCGGGTGACCCGCTCAACCCAACAGCAAAAAGATCAAAGTCGTCGGCGCTAGAGAGGGGAGAGTGGAGACGTTAGACTTAAACTAGGACTGCTCCTGGAGTTTGAACCTCAAAGCCAACCTTCCAAATAGCGATCCCCTCTTCTTCCCTTTATTTTTTCCTCTAATTCTTGTGCCTAGATCACTGCTCTTTCCTTTGTGGAATTATTTTTCTTAGTTCCTTGCACCTGATAATCATCTCAATCTGTAGAAAACTCTTTCATAATAGAATTTCTATCCATTTTAAGAACTAATTCGACATTTTTCGCCCTATTTCATCTTCTTGTTTCCCCAGATAACTCTCTTCGCCTATTATCATGTCAAGTTGACTCCTTTATATTATATACATTATGATGTGGGTGAACCCACAAACCCACCCAAATCATCCACCATCCGCCCGACCCAACCCGAGACTAAATGTGGGTGGGTGGTGGGTTAAAAATTATCAATCCGTTTAAGCACGGGTGGGTGCATTTTATGGTCAAAATCCACCCGACCCACCCAATGCCCACCCCTTACATCCGCGGCCATTGTTGGGCATCTTCTAGGGAAATCAAACCCACCGCTGGCCACACTTTCACGGTAACCCACCGCCGACGATTGTTGTCCCTCAGATCGCCACCAATGACCCTGTACGTCACGGAGCGGCCGGGTTCCACCTTCTCTATCTTCTCCGTCGATTCACGTAGCTCTGCACAGCTGCACGGCACACAACAAAAAACAGTTTGAAGAGGCAGAGGAATTGGTTTTTAGCTACCAATTGAATGAATGGAATTACCAGGTCCGAGCTGGAAGAGCCGAATGCTGCCGGGCTGCCGTTGCCATGGATGTACTTGGCAAGGGGAAGCATATGAGGGTTGATGTTGTTGATGATGTCGTTGTCTCTGTACATCTCTCATGCTCTCTAGGCTCCCATGTTCAGCTCCACTTCTCCTCTCAAGCTCTGCATCTCTCTCTGTCTCTATCTCTGTCTGAAGCTGTGGGTTTTAGTTTGGAGTGAAAATGAGAAAAGGAGAGAGCTTTATATAGAGGGAGGAGTGCTTCTTTTTCTGCAATCAGACAAGTTGATGATAGATATTATTAAATCAGAAAGACAGAGATATTAATCACCCGCAATTCTCTGCTCCCGCTACGACTCTGCAGATTAAAGGGAGCAAATTCCATCTCCATCTCGAGCTAGCTAGCTAGGTAGTCGTAATAAGAAGAAGCATATATATGGGCCCAAAGCTACTTAGGGGATCAGAAGGCCGCCCTTTTGCACAGTGGAAGAATACAAGAGATCAGGTGATGAGATATGCATCTTCTAGCTTCTTGTTTTGCTTTTTGTTTGGTTTCGTATGTCGTTGTTCCATTGGATCTGGGGCTGACGACGGAGTTCTCCATATGATGAAGCCCGCCGCCGGTGGCAAGAAATGGAGTTCTGCTGTCACTTGCTGTTGTTATGCTGTCGTAAAAGCCTAGGGTTGAGTTACCGTGAAAGTGTGGCCGGCGGTGGGTTTGATTTTCCCAGAAGATGCCCAACAATGACCGCCGATGTAGGTAGCCAATGGTTTTCTTTTTCCTTCCACATTTTTTTTGTTTTAATTATTGTAATAATGAGGTGGAAATTATTTTAAAAAATATTTTTTATTATTTTGTTATTTTTTTAATTGCCACGTCACTCATTTAACGGTCAACTATAAGAGTTGACCGCCACATCAGCAAAAGTTAACGGAGACTAACGGCCAGTGTCCAAACTTGAACTGTTAACCTAATTTAAATGATTACGGATGGAATAAAGTAATTCTAGTGGCTAACGTGAAATTCACTAGTAATTCAAGTGTCCAAACTTGAAATTTAGCCTAAACTCCACAAATCACAATAAATCCTCTTGATAACAACAAATCAACAACACATCATCATCTATCATCACTTATCACCAGCCTTAGAAGAACCAACATCTGCATAACCCTGTTCGTTCAATTAGGGCAACAAGTCATGACCATAATCATCATATTTATCTTTCTCATACTCTTCCTCTGGTACTTCTTCTTCACCCTCCTGCTCATTCTCCACTGGAATGTTGAGGCTTGCATCTGCATTGCCAACATTGCCAGTATTCGGTGCACTTTCCATTCTAGTTTGGAAAGTGACATTAACTGAGTAAGAAAAAAAAAGGAAAACAAAGTGTTAGTACATTCATACATTGAATTAGGTGAAAAGAAGGCAAAAAACTGAACAATAAGAGAGTTTCAGAACTCACTAATTTCCAAAGTCAAATTCTCTTCATCATCTTCCTTATCGTCAATCTCCCTGGATCTGGGATACCTTATCCAATCCTCAACACAAATCAATGCATCCACCATTAGGTCGCTCAAAGAGGACCTGAATGGACTGAAAATCCGTCCGCCACAATTGAATGTTGCCTCTGAGGCAACATAAGAGATGGGAACAGCTAGGACATCCTTAGTCATCTCAGCAACAATCGGAGATATTCCAGAGTGTCGAGACCACCAATCCAATATGTCAAACTTTGCATCATCGCTCTTTTCATTGATGCCATCAGTTTGACATTTCAAATAGATGTCAAGCTCAGCAGAGCTACCTCCTGTTTCCAGCAGAAGTGCTCCCCTTTTTCTCTTTCTAAGCCTCTCCTACAATATCTTAATCCGATCACCAACACCATCACCAGAACCATCATCAGCAATGTTATCATCAGTGGTAGGCTGAGATGCAGACTCTGATCCATACTTCCTCTTATAAATCTCAAACATCTGGCGCATCTCCCTTTTAATAGAACTCTGAATTTCCCCTCCTTTGATACGTCCATAAATCATTACCAACACTTCAGACACCAGATCAAGTTTACTTCTAGGATCAAGCACACATGCTATATAAATTAAATGATTCACCCGAGTATTCTCCTCATTCATGACAGGTGTCTCAAACCAATACTTTGGGTTAATTGCAAGGTTGGTCACTCTGATTACTAAAAACGTTCATGTTTAGTCACTAGAAATATTTAATTTCATTCATGGTCACTAGGTTTAGTAAAACATGTCATATTTGGTCACTCTCCGTCCAACTCCGTTAATTTTGTCTGATGTGGCAGTCAACTCTCATAGTTGACCGTTAAATGTATGACGTGGCAATTAAAAATTCCACCTCATTATTACTACATTTAAAAATAAAAAATAAATATTCATTTTAATTCCCTAAACCTTACGAACTAAGATCACCCTTCTTTCTCACCGTCGCTCTACCCATGATTTATATCCTTCATATATCTCATTCTTGGGCCGCGGCGAAGGGGAAGGGATGGCTAGCAGCGAGAGATGAAGGGTTTTAGCAACGCGGAGGAGTAGTAGTACTGTGGGCTGCTCTGTGCGGTACCGAATGAATAGTCCTCGAAATGGCCGCTATAGGATCTAGGGCTCATCTCCGTCAACGCCGACGGTGACAGCGACACCTAGAAATCCGATTGCAAAAATCGATTGCGGAATCTTCCATATGTTCATTTGGATTGTGGTGGGGTGTAAGAGAAATAGTTGTTCCTGCTTTTTGTGCTTCCCTTTGAAGCCCCAAGATCCATTTTAATTTTCAACGATATCAATGTCGCATCTGTCGACATCCTCCAAATGAAGGTAGTTACAAAGGAGTCAGGACCCATCAATTTTCCTCCCCCAATTGCTCCAAAACAAAAACAGGGTACAAGATGAAGGCAATGTACTCACGTAATTAGTGGGTATGGCCTTCTATGCGAAGAATACGACCTCTGGCCACTGACGGAAGGCTTTCCGTCCTTCGTCGCCGTTTGATGATCTCAGCTTCGGTGACGGGGTTTTGGCGAAGGAGAGCAGCTACGCCGAGGAATTTATGAATCTGGGTAGCCAAACAGGTGATTAGCTGGCTGACAGAGCGAATTGCGACCAAGGAATTCGAGGCGGCGGCGGTGGAACGGATTAGGAAGCTGCTCGCGGGTCTCCCAATGGACTCGAACAATGTCCTCAAACTGAAGAGCAGTTGTCGATCCGGTCAGCTACAGAGAAGTAGAATAATGCACGGAAGGCGAGTGAAAGCATAAACTGGTAGGATTTTGGTGTGTAGGGGATTATAGGAAATCAATTTTTTTTATTAATAGTTGTGTAAATGAGGTGGAAATTTTAAAACATTAATTTTTTTATTATTTAATTGTCACGTCACACATTTAACTGTCAACTATAAAAGTTGACTGTCACATCAGATAAAGTTAACGGAGTTGGACGGAGAGTGACCAAACATGACATGTTTTACTAAACCTAGTGACTACGAATGGAATTAAATATTTATAGTGACTAAACATGAACATTTTTAGTAATCACAGTGACCAACCTTGCAATTAACCCCAATACTTTTGTACCTTTTCTTCAACCTTTTCTGTCATCTTTTTTAGCTCTTCACGCATATCATTTTTCAATTCCTCAATGATGTCATAAACTGGAACAAGTTTCTTGAAGAAAAGATGGGTAGTCACATATTTAGTTCCTGTACAAATGAGAATAGAATATAGGAAAGTAGACTTAAACAAACCAAAATTGTCAAATGATCAAATTAAAATAAACAAAGTGAGCAAAAATTTCACTTACCCGAGACTAGGAGGGTAAAGTCATTAAAGACTTTCAGATACTTCATCAACTTCCTAATCAACTGCCAATCTTGTTCAGTTGGAAGACCACCTCTTGCATCAACATAATCCCTGAAGGAATGATCTTGTATACTTGTATACAAAGTGGTAAACACTCCACAAACCTTTATGTTGCTTCTTACATGATATAGGTGGAGTTCCACCTGGTCGGTACATCCAAACACACCAATTTGGTTGACTCCAATTCCAGAAATTGCATGGCAGTCTTGAACCTTGTCAACCTAGCTGGTGATGACCTCACCCACTTCACACAGTCCCGAACTCTATCCACAGCTCCTCCGATTACTTTCAATCCATCATGCACCACCAGATTAATGATGTGTGCGACACAGCGAAATTGCAGATACTTACCATCCATCAAATCACACCCCCACTCCTTTAATTTCGTTCTCATGCAATCACTCACAATATCATTTGTAGATGCATTGTCCATGGTAATGCAGAACAGATTATTCACCTTCCAGGGTTATTCATTGCAGAAGTGCCGTTCTTGGATGGATGTGCTTTGATTTTAGCATGACAATGCCTGCACTCTCCCATCGGATACTCATCCACTGCCACCTTCGTAAAATCCTTCCAGCAATCAGCAGTACCCTTTGTCTCCAACCATTTCTCTAGATTGAAGGGATCATCTTTAACTTTATTTGAAGCCGGATTAACCGTTTCTACTAAAGGAGTCTCATCAGCAGATGTACTTCCACTACCGGCTTGGGTGGGAGTCGATGCAATTGATGTCGAGGCCGACGGTTCAGCAGACTGAATAAGCCAACTTCCTGTACGTCCACCACAACCCCGATTCTGAGCAGGAGGGGCTGAGGCACCTGCACCACCACGACCTCGAGGAGCCAGAGGTCTCCAACCACGAGAAGCAGTCTCAGCGGAAGGTGCACCTCGTCCGCCAAGTCCACCATGTGGAACTGGAGGTCTCGCCCTACATCAACAGTTACACAAAATCATCATCATTCACCAAAATCATCAATCTTCATTCATAAATCAATCATCGTTCACTCTAAATCATCATTGTAAAATTCTAAATCATTCATCATTCATCCAAAATCATCATTCTAATTTTCTAAATCATCATCATTCATTCAAAATCATCAACATTCACCAAAATCATCATTCTTCATTCATAAATCAATCATCATTCACTCTAAATCATCATTTGCTCTAAAATCATCATCAATCAACTTACATATTATAATCAGCAGCAACAACAAGAAGAAGAGCATGCTG